ATATATACAAACCATAAAATATATCCAAAGCAAGAAAAGTATGAGGTTAAAATAACAACACTGAAGTTGTTTTTACTTTACTTATTATTTATTTCATTTTCAGAAATTTACAGTTCATGCAATGACAGTCAAATTTAAGACTTATGCTTGGGAGAAATAGTCTGCAGCAGATTTCTTGTGTTATCACTTAATTTTAAATTCATAAAAATGAAAAACAATCTGAAAACAAAACAAAAAAACATTGGTGAATGCTCTGGTCTGGTCTAAGCAAAGCAAAAAAAGAAAAAAACAGGTCTGAAAGAGAGGATGCACTGGTCCAACAACGTTACAATGTAAGGCCAGTAAACCACCTTTGAGTTTAAAACTTGTTTTTAGCGTCGTCGTAAATGAAGCATTATCGATCTGTTGTAAATTAAATTAATAAAAATGCCCCACTAACAAAGCCTTTGAATCTTTTAGGTTTTTCAAAGTTCTGCAGTCATATGCTTTTATCAATGACCTGCCTCCAGTGCACACAGTCAGCTGAGGTCACACCAAACCAAAACATTACGACTACCTCCAGTTACAGCATTAAGTAACAGAAAGCACGAGCCAACAGATATGCAACATCTTAGTGAAAAACAAAACAATCAGATAGTTGAAGCCACTGCGACTCATCTCCTGCTGAATGAAAGATGTTAAAAGAACGACGTGTCTGAAGAAAAGGCCCCGGCCAGTCTGAACTCATCCTTCATGAGCACACAGAAGAGCCTCTGGGGCAGAGCCTTGGAGTACGGCGCTGGTCGGGGAACACACGTCCGCAGCAGAATTTCTCGGCCCGCCGGAGGTGGGAAGTCTGGGACTTTTCTACTTTCACCAGTCGACTTCCTGTCAGGCTCCAAATCTTCATCCAGAGGGGACAGAAGAGCCACCTGAGGATCAAAACCAAGTCCAATGTGTCAAACTAAAAACAGGAGAGGAAGATTTCTGTCTGCAGTTTGAAAATGAGCAGAAAGTGAATTTGATTTTAAAAAGGTAAATCTGGAACTCCTTCACATCACCATGAAAAGAAGTGAACTCTTTAATGGTTTTAGTTCGTCAGCTGCTGTTTTACCCCGTCTTCAATTTTGTCTCCAGCAAGTTAATTGAACTGTTCATATTCAGAATGAGTGATCCCAGCATAAACTGCTTGTGTTGATTAAAATCAAATCAAAGGATAAATAAAAGCTACATTCAAAGCCCTTCCACTCATGTTGACTACAGTACCACATGTTTACATACACAGAGCCACATTTTTATAATCATAAAATCATTCAACTCTGATCTATACCATAAAATAAATTGTGGTCAGACCTGAAAATGGGGCCTACAAACCTGACTCGAGTCGACCAGTTCTGTCAGGAGGAAAGGGACAAAAATACAACAAACCATTGGGAGAAGCTTGAGGAAGAAAACCCAAAATGACCCGAGTCGGACAGTTTACAGGTAAAGATACCAAATACTAAAAATATGAATGAAAACTTGTGACTTTAATGAATATAATCAAAACTTCTCACAGCATTTGGAAATTTAACACATAGAAACTATCAAAATTTGTTCTTGTGAGCAACTCCAGAAAAATTTCAGGGTTTTAAAGTATACAATTAATAATTGGTACAATGCAAAGGTCAAAGTAAAAGTTTACAAGACAGTGGTGAGACCAGCTCTGTTGTATGGTCTGGAGACAGAGACATGGACAAAAAGACAGGAGACAGAACTGGAAGTGGCAGACATGAATATGTTGAGGTTCTTCCTAGGAGTGACAAGGATGTTTAAGGATGGTGCCCTCTGGTGGCTGGTTCCCATTCTTACACTCCCTGGTTTCTCTGCTAATTGTCTCGTCTCCACCTTCGTGTCCTGCCAGGTGTGTGTGATTGTTAGTCTGTGTGTGCATGTATACAAGTCTGTGTCTTTGTAAAACAAATCTTGACAGTATGCTCAGAACACGAAAAGAACCCAGTGGGCAGTTGATTAGAACCCATCACGGGGTTTAAGGAGCTGCTTGGACCGCCCGGTGGGAGAGAGAAGCAGAGCGCGCTCAGGAGGAAGCTACCGTTGGGGCGGGTTCCAGACCGAACCCATCTGGAGACGGATGCACTGCTATGACTGACCATAGTGGACAAAAGAAGGACGAACAGACCCACGCGTGATCATATGACCTTATGGGCGGCTGTGGCTGAGTGGTTAAAGCAGTCATCCCCCAATGCGAGAGCTGGGGGTTCGAATCCACCAGCAGTCACAATCCGAAGTGTCCCTGGGCAAGACACTGAACCCCTCGTTGCCTCTGATGTGTGTCCCATCAGTGTATGAATGTGATAAATCACTGATTAATCTCTTTAGAATGATTTGTTCAATTATCTTTGTAGAGATCTAGTATAGAGCTGTATGAATGGGTAAATGAGGCACAGATTGTTGTGTAAAGAGCTTTGAGTATCTTGATTAGATAGAAAGGTGCTGTATAAGTACAGTCCATTTACCATTTACCATATGACACACACGCGCGATCATATGACACACGCACGCGATCATATGACACA